AGGGATGCTGATAACTGAAGCAGGTGGGGCCTTGTGAGTGGATGGTGGGAGGGATCAGGGCTTCCTGAGCATCCGTCAGTCCCTGGAGCATCTGAAGGGGCAGCCTACACCTGGAGGAACAAGCGGGGCTGGCCCCCGTGGGTCCCCAGTGCCTGACATCTCCTGGTCCCTCTGCTTTCCCTCACAGACCCCCTCCACTGAGCAGCACAGCCCTGAGGACAAAGGCAGCAGCCGGAGAGCATTCCCAACACAACTATATTTATTTATATTTACACAGAAGACCCCCAAGGTGTTGCTCCTCACCTCCTACCCCCTCCCCCTAGGCCCTCCCTTCCCGTTCAGCCACACTTTTCCTCCCCCACTCTCTCCCTCCCCTCCCTCCCCCACCCTCCAAAGCTAATGCCCAGCAAGATCAGCACTGGGGGAGAAGTCTTTGCTTTGGGGTCATCCGGTGTCGTGAGGGTCCGAGAGTTAAGAGCCCCACCCTTGAGGATTGGCACCAGAGAGCCTGCCCTGTCCCCCTACTGGCTGCGGTGCTGCTTTTTCTTCCTCTTAGAGAGCAAGGGATCACCCTTTCTCTTTTGGGACTGTGAGGGGCCACCCCGCCCCCAAGCCAGGGATTGCGCCCCAGAGACTCTGAGCCCAGGCCCTAGGTGGGGCGTCTGTTCAGCAGGGGATGAGCCTCCGAAGAGAGCTCGCTTCTTGGACTTGGTGGCAGGAGCGGGTGCTGGGCTGAGGCCTCTTCTCTTTGCAGATTGGGACTGAAGAGCTCCGTGGGGTCCCCGCCATTCTGGGCTGAGAAGGCCCGAGGCAGGGACAGGGCTCTGGGACAGCTTCCAGGGCCGCAGCCTGTAGTTGGTACCCACGACAGAAACCATACCCGGGATTCCCCTCTCCTCCTCACTTGACCCCTTAGACAGCCTGTGTGACTCCTTGACAGGAGAGGCTCCAGGGAGACCCCAGGTATCCTTGGTCCCCACACCTGGGCAGGCAGGTCTATGGTCCTGGGAAGGAGAGTCTGGCCGGGCAGATCTCAGCCAGCAGGAATCCAGTCTCTCCAAAAGCACCACAGGGTTTTTGGACCTGACCATCCCAGTGTGCTCTCTGCCTCGTCCCTGAGTGTCCCGGGAGGCCATTTGGGGGCTTTGTCTGTGGTCCTGGGGAGGAGAGTATGGCCGGGCAGCCCTCAGCCTCTGAGAATCCAGCCTCTCCAAAAGCACAACAGGGTTTACGGAACTGGCCATCCCAGTGCACACTCTGCCTTGTCCCTGAGGGTCCTGGGAAGCCCTCAGGGGGATGGGTCTGCAATACTGGGGAGGAGAGTTTGGCGGGGCAGCCCTCAGCTTGTGGGAATCCAGACTCTCCAAAAGCTTAACAGGGTTTTTAGACCTGGCCATGCCAGTGCGTGCTCTGCCTTGTCCCTGAGGGTCCCGGGCAGCCATCTGGGGTGGGCAGGTTTCCATGCTGACCCCTTGCTGGGGGTCAGGGACATCTCTCTCTGCTCCTTGGCCCGCTGCAGACTTAGAAGAGATTGAGTCCAACCGGGCAGTGCCATGACTAGGGTCTGCCCTCGCACACCGTTCCTCCTCCAAGGATAGGCGGCGCTTCTCCGCTACCTGCGGGAGGAAAGGGGGCACTGACTGGCACTGCCCCAAGTGTGAGCAGGGCCCAGGGTGGCAGACACCAGGGCATTTGGGCAGCAGGCAGGGAAGCCTGAGGCAGCTGGGCTTCCTGTCAAAGAGAGGGTGTGGCTCTGCCGGGCATCCCGCTGAGCCTCACTGCAGTTGGCCTCCTGACTCCCCTCCTGGCCTCTCTCCATCCTGCGCCATCTGAACCTGCACCTCCCCACCTCGGAGTGGCTCCCCAAGAAGCTGAGCATCCCCACAGGGTGGGGTAGACAATCAGGTGGGGCTTGTGTGCCAGGTTCTTCCTGCCCCCAGGGTACCTGGGTTCCCTACCCTCCCTGCTCTACCTGGGCAAGGGTGAGTCCTTCCTCCTGCTCCAGTTCCTGGCTTAGGGCCAAGAAATCCATGTGGGGATCTGGAGAAAGCAATTCTTCCAGAAATCGGGGATGAATGACGGCCTCCACCTGGAAACAAGAGGAAGACAGAGTGAGGTTCCCGGGCAGGGAGTAACCTGGAGCCAAGGACACCTGGAGGAGATGCAGAAAGCAGCAAGGGCTCTGTCCCCACCCTTCTGGAGCTGTCTCATATCATGGCAACCACCAGCTCCACACACAGACCACAGACCTAGTAGCATCCACACATGCAGACAGAGACACACAAACCACACACAGACACGCAAACAGACCCACATATGACACAGGAAAATAGACACAAGTAACATACACATGCCACACTCACAGCCACACAGACACAGAAAAACACACAGTAAAAAATCACAGGCACAAACACACAACAGAGCTTAATTCCAAGGACCTTCGAGTGACCCCCTTCCTCCCATCGGAATTCTGCAGACCCCAGCACTTCAGGCCAGCCCACCTTGGTGACGAAGTCTTTCTGGGAACACAGCTTGTCAACATAGCTCAGGAGGCCTGGGTCTAGAAGCATCCCGTCCCCTTCCTGCTCCACTTCGCCTTCTTCCCATTGTGCCTTGAGCTCCCCCGTGGCCCCATCGGGAGGCCCCAGCAGCTCCTCCATGATGTCCACATACTCCTGCACCACTTCAGGGGGGATCTCATCGGGTGCCTTGGTCTCCGCTGGCTCTTGGGGCCTGGGTGATGGCAGGCAGGCAAGCAGGGCCTTGGGGCCGGCCTTGCTGGGAAGGTACACTGAGGCAGGGAGGGAAGAGGACAGGCGTGGTGAGGGCTGCTCCTCCTGCCTGCACCACACGGGGGGGGCAGGGCTCGGGGACATGAAGTGGGTCCCAGCTGGGTCAGAACCACCTGAACCACAGCGCCCCAGAGGAGACGCCGCAGGAGGGGCACATGTGAGAGAGCATCATTTTGGAGGAAGCTTGGAGTCACTGATAAGCTGAGTACTCTACCTGCTCATCCCTGCTTCCTGGGCAGATTGTTGAGTTTTGGAATGGCAAGGAGAGAGAGTCGCTAGGAAACTTGACCAGGTGAATACCTACTTCATCACCCCGGGCTGCCCAGCCCCCAGCTCCCCTGAGCTATTTTGTTGGAAGGAGCAAATGCACCTCTTGAAGGTAGGCATGAGGTATGGGGACAGTCGCCTCCCTTGGCCCCTGTGGCCTTTGCCGTGGCTCCTGTGGGAATGTGGGAAGCCATACCAGGCTGATTGGCCACCTGAGGGGCCGGAGTTCCTTGAGGTTCAAGCCTCGGCAGGGCTGGAGGAGGCAGGCACTGGGGCCCCTTCATCCACTGCGACTTCTGAATCTGCATCCCCTCCTCAGCCTCAAACTCCAGGAACCTGGGGTGAAGAAGGTGCAGGCCGTGCTGAGAGGGTCCAGGCCCCCTGCCCCCAGGACCAGGCAGCAGCTGATGGCAGTGATGGGAAGCAGTGCCTCCGGCGGGCTGTCCAGGCCTTCCCTGGGGCCCATCCCCCAGTCCCAGGAGGGAGCTGCTCCCAGAGTTCTGGGCTCACCCGGCCCCTGCAGAGCCCATGGCATCAACAGGGCTTCCTGACTCAAGTCAGGGCCATGAGGCCCTGGAGGGCACCAGGGGGATCCCTCCTCCAGGCTTCAGCTGGCCAGTGGTGGGGTTTATGGCAGAAGGGGTCAGGAATATTGCCCAGATGCTGGAGTCCTGAGGTTGGGACTGTGGGGATAACCCAGGATGACGAGGCCTGGGAGACCCCTGGTCGGGAGGAAGAAAAAGCTGAGCCCCGAAGACAGGACCCGTTTCCCCTGAGGCTGCTGTCTGTCTGTCTTAACAGAGGGGGCTGCCCAGGAGCAAAGGCAGGCAGGCCAGAGATGGGTCTCATGGTGTCCTGGACGCAGGTTTCCCCTGACCCAAGGCAGGTTTCTCCAATCCTGGCAAGGCCGGGATGGGTGAAAACCGTCTTCTGGTCACTGCTGTGAGGAGAGTGCACCCCGCTCTGTCTATAGTTGCCAGCGCCCCTTCTCCCCATCCCCACAGCTGGTGGTGACCACCTTTGGGCTGTGATGCTGGCTGCTCCCTCCATGACCCCCAGTGTCAGGCAGGGATTGGCCGCAGGCCAGGCATGGCGTGGCTTCCCTCCAGGGCCGGTTAGAGACCCCAGAGCACTCTAGGAGGGAGGAACAGCTTCCTGAAGGAGCCAGGGGCCCAGGAGGGCCGTTTGTCCACACCTTCCTCATGCTCCACGCTGAGAAGCCACCATGGCCGCCAGGCCTGTGTCACCCTCTCTCACCCTGCCATGGGGGCTCTGCCCCTGCACCCCAGACTCACTTTCCCGCTATCTCATAGTAGATCCTCCGGTCAAAGTTGCTTGTGTGCTGCCATTCCTGCACGGCCCGCCACAGTCCCTCCTCCAGGGTCATGCTGGGCTTCCACCGGGCCAGGGATCTGAGAACTGGGCTGTAAGGTGGTGCAGTCAGTCCCAGTCCACAAGCCCACCTCCATCCCAAACCGACCTGGTCCCAACACCCAGCCCCTGTCCTCCCCACATGTGTCCTGCCATCTGTCCCTGTGTTGTTCTCCCCTACATGGACGGGACACACCTCCAAGATCAATCATCAAAACAAGCCACTGGGTGACCTCTCCAACTGCCCCGGAGTCCTCAGTGTTACAGTGTTGACAAGTGAACTCAGTACTATGGGTCTCACTTGTGTGTCCTCAGCATTCCTGTGCTGAAGCCCTAAGCCCTGGTGTGCCGGTTCTTGAAGTCAATCAGGGTTACAGCAGGTCATGACGGTGGATTCATGTCATGGCATCTGAGCCTTGATAAGGGCAGGAGGAGACACCAGGGCTCTCCCTCTCAGCCACAAGAGGACACAGCCAGAGGCAGCTCTCTCCAGCTAGGACACCAATCTGCTGTCGCCTTGATCTGGGACTTCTGGCCTCTGGAACTGGGAGACGTGACTGTGTCCTGATAAAGCACCCAGTCTATAGGATTTGTTATGCCGAAGCTGAGCTGACTGAGACAGTGCGCACACAGAATGTCCAGGGAGCAAGGGTTAACGTGCAGGTTCCAGAGCCACAGGACTGCGCATTTCACCAGCTTCCTGGGCACTCTGGAGCAAGGCAGCCCCTGGGGACGCAGCCTCAGGGTCCTGGAGAGGAGAGCAAACCAGAAGCAAAGCAGAGCAGCATCCAAGCCCACTGCATGTGGAGCCTGTGAGCCTGGGGCGGCTCCACTCCGAGAATTAGGGTCCCCAGTGCACCGGGACTCAGCTCCAAGGGAGAATGCAACCAGTCGCAGGATGCAGGGGCGGCAAGATTTTTGGGACAAAGATGGCGTTGCCTTACACCTACACCCTGGGCAGGGGACTTGCCTAGGGGAGTGGCCAGTGTGTTGCCTGGTGGATGTGCTCAAGCTCCCGTGGAGTACGGGTTTGCTCATCAGCGGGGGACACAGGGTCACAGAGGCACCGCAGGATGGAGAGAGGCAGGACTGGGACTGAATCCACAAACTCTCCCAGATGCTGGCATTGCTGCCTCAGTCACCACAGTCCACGCCCCTGGGCTGCTGGGCTCGTGGTGCACTCAGAGCCATCACTGGAGCCTGTGGCTTTGGGGAGCGCTGTCCTAGATGGCCTAGTCATGATAATGATAGCAATAGGGACAGTAATCATAACTGCTGTCATGTAATGTGCCACAGCATGTGCCAGACACTGCTATATGCGTCATAAGTGAGCTCAAGTCACCTCTTCACCATCCTCTGAATGAAGCATCGTCGTCCCTTTTTCTAGAAGGGATCAAGGGCGAAGCTGCAAATACCTGCCCAGCATGGACCCCAGTGTGAGGCCGAGACCATCTCCTGTGCAGGCTCCGCCACCACTGTGCCAGCTGGACCTTGGCAGAGCAGTGGGCATGTGCCAGGTTCCTGCAGCTCCCACCCCCAGCCCATGTGCTGTGCCCCTGGCCTTCGCCATTCAGGTCAAGGGGAGGCACTGGGGCGCACTCAAGTCCTAAACCCAACCCGTGGCTCCTGTTGGACCAGGAACCCTCTCTGACGTGGGTGTTCTGTAAACATTGTCATGAAAATGACTGAAAGTAAGGATTGGCTGCACTCACGGGACAGTGAGGGGCAAGTGACATGAGGCCCCTGAGAGTCTGACCTGAGCGGCAGCCAGATTAATGTTGCTGAAAATGTGCCCTTTGATAGTGCAAACCATTGC